ATATATCATTTATTTAAGAAATTGGCTTACCCAATTGTGAGAACTAGCAAGACCAAAATCTGTAGAGTGCCAGTACAGCTTGGCTCCATAGACTGAAGACTTTCTTCCCTGGGTGGTGCTCCTGGAGGTGGCAGACTCTTTAGGAAGTGAGTCTTCGTGGGAGGTCTTTAGGTCACTGGGGGGCGTGACCTTGAAGGGACTGAGAGATTCTGGTCACTTCCTCTCCCTCTCTTGTTTCTCTGGCTGTGTGGAGAGCAGTTTTGCACTTCCATGCTGCCACCTCAGGCCCAAAGCAATGAGACCAACTGATCATGGTTTGAAACCTCCACAGCTCTACACAGTTAATTATCTCAGGCATTTTGTTACACTGGCAGGAAGCTGAATAACACAGGCAAGTTAATGCACTGGGAACAAAGACAGGATTCCTATGTTCTAGCCTCGAGGCAAAATACTCTCTTCTGCAGGAAACCTCCATTTTTGCTCTGGAGGGCCCTGACGGGCTGGATGATGTCCACCCACATCACACAGGGCCATCGCCTTGACTTAAAGGGCATAGATCACAAAATGCCTTCATGGCAGCATCTGGACTGGCGTCTGTCCCAACGGCAGGGCAACACAGCCAACTGGACGTAAAAAATGCAACCATCACAAGCTCCAGATGCTCTTTGGTTCAAATCCTTTAGAAAGGTGACATGTCAGTGGCAATGGTACGAGGCCCTTGTCATCACCCACCCACCCTAACCCTCAGGGGACCTTTCTCTTCCATATTCCACAAGAGCCTCCTCATTTGCCCGTAAATATCATTTAGCTGAGTCCTTTTCCTTGCATTCTCAAGTAGTTGCGTCCAGAGACCACACTGCTGTGCCTCCCCAGACACCCTGCCTAGCCCAGCTCCTTTCTGCACGTCTCCTCTCTGCCCAGCATCTTTCCCCGTCCTGATTTCAGTGAGAATCAGAGGACAATGTGCTTAGGGAAAATCCCCGACACTAGCTGCCGTGACACACTTCTGCAACCCCCGCACCAGGGAGGCCCAGGCAGAAGGAGTACAAGCTGGAGCCAAGCCTCTTGGGCAACTGAGTGAGGCCGTGTCAAAAACAGGTGCTAAAAGGGACTGGGGATGTAGCTCAGTGTGAAAGCCCGGGGCTCAATCCCCAGTACTATGAAAAAAAAATCACGGAGAAAATAAATGACAAGTTGAGAGTTCAGTAAATGTGTAGGCAGTGAAGACCACGGATACTGGAACAAACTTCCTAGGTTCAGTATGTACTACCTGTGTGACTGGTCATATTGCATGCAGTATTTCTGAACCTGTTTCCTCATCTGCAACATGAGGATCACAATGATACTTCCTTAAAGGGTTCACACGAGGTGGTTTGAACACTGCACTGAGCAGTTAGTAACTGTGATGGTTAATGGGTTAACCATTAGACACCTGGGGGATTAATACAGAACATTTCTGGGTGTCCAGGTGGGCATGACCGTGAGGACTCTATCTGTTCCCTGGCCCCTTCTCTTCCAGTTGTCTTTGCTTCCTGAAGCACTTTTCATCAGGTCCTTCCGCCACCATGTTTCTTCTTTGGAGCCAGCTAACCATGGACCCAAACCTCTGAAACCACGAAACAAAAAGAAACCTTTTTTCCTTTAAGTTCTCCCCCACCCCAGTACTGGCAATTGATCTCTGAACTACACCATTGGCTCTTTTTTTTATTTTGAGACAGTCTTCCTATGTCTCTGAGTTGCCCAGGTTGGCTTTGAACTTGTGATCCTCCTGCCTGAGTGTGTCAGGATGCTGCGATTACAGGCGCGTGCCACCACATCAAGCTTCCTTTCCGTTGTTCAGGTCAGGTATTTTGTCCCATGATGGAACCCTGACGAATATAGTACTATTTACTTAACTGAACTATTTACCTAACCAGAGAGCTGAGGGTTGGCTAGAGCCTGGGAGAAGGCTATTTTGGAGAAGCACGTAGCCCCATGTGAAGATCTGCTCTGAGCCTTCCTGTCCACAGTAGTTTCATTCGAGACTGTGGGGATTTCACATCTTGTTTCTTCGCACACAGGAGTCAGACACTACTGAGAACCCTGAAACAGTTCACCTCTGAAATACTTCATCACACAAAGTAACAGAAGTACTATTTACCAAATGCTGTCAATTCACATACATAGTCTCACTGAAGGCTCATGATATCCTCAGAAATTAGATATATCACCTCCAATTTAAAGAAGGAAATGGGAACTTAATGAAATTTGAGTGATTTGCCTCAAATCAAACATATTATAAAGATTGCCCAGCTTTAAAGCCAAAGTTACTGCCAGTTACATAATGACATTTTGCTCCAAAGGGTAAGATGCTGATCTGTTTCTTGTGGGGTTTTGGTGCCTACATTATCAAAAATTACTTTTCACGCACATATCTCTTTTACTTTACAAAACTGATCAATTCTGGAGTGCTGCTCCGGGCAATCACTGTAGGGCGCTGTGAACTGGGCAGGAGACTTTACACTGAACATGCTTGAATTACAAAGCCAAGGGGCCTGGGGAAGAAACATGTTTAGAGGGCCTGGCTTTCCCTCTGTTTCTAGACAACACCACTGTTTACGAAGAATGTGTTAGTGAGAGGTACAGAAAAAGATTCTGCTTTTCGTTTGTTTAGACTCCAGTAAACATTTGATAGCAACAGTTTCCAACGGAAGTTGAAAAAGCACAAAAATAAGTTCAAGAAGGCCCGCAGGAGGATGAATGTGAGCAAGGTCACTGTGATGCAATTCATGACAGCGAAGGATGTCATGGCCAGTGAATTCTCAGGGAAGGCTTCAGACTGCTTCTTTAACAGACTTCTTTATCGGCCTCCACGTCATCTGCCATCCATCATCTGAAAGGTCAACACAGAGAACAGAGGCATATTCTGTACTAGGACAGAGCAGTGCTGACGTCCACAAAGAGGACTGAGATCGGAATGACTGAGTACAAAGACAAACAGGGAAGTTAGACTGTCAGGTACTGTGAGGTACCATGGCTGAAATACAGCCTGAGGTGATGGGTTTGTGACGGAGGAGCCATTGAGCTAGGTGGTCAGGCACGATTTCTGAACAGCAGGCATCTGAGCCAGAGTGTTGTGGTGTCAGAGATCTAACCCCAAGCCTAACCCCTAACCCAGAACCAGGCAGGAAAACTCTAACAGGTCCGATACCAAGTCAGACCCTGGAGAGACAGCAGGGCTGGCTCTGCAGAGGAGCATGTGACAGGCTCAGCAGCTGCACAGGACACATTCTTTGTAAACAAGATTTAGTCTATGAACAAATGGAGAGTCAGGCAGCTCAAACTTCTACTTTCCCGTGGGTTCTTTGGCTTTATAATTCAAGCAAGTGTAATGTGCTTTAGGAAGGTGTCTGAATGACTATTCAAGAATAATGGAATTATACTGCAGGTTCTGAGCAGAGGTAAGATGACCTCAGCTAGCTTTAAAAATGTCAGTCAAGATGCTCGGTGGGGAACTGCTTATCAAGGGGCAGAAGCAGGGGCCAGGAGACTCCTTAGGTGAGATTAGAGCGGCCAGGGGAAAAGGCTGAAGACTCCCCCCAAATCTCCTAATGGCTAAGGGGACTTCACTGGTAAAGGAAGTTGAATTTATTTTAATAATGACTCCATTTGCATGCAACACATCTGCTACAAAGTAAATTGTTTCATTATTATTTTGTCAGAGGTAGAGAGCGCATTGCTAGGGATTAGAAATTACAGACACGACACTGACTATAAAAACGCACTTACTGGTGTGCCAAAGATCACTATGGAGGGCTTCTGGTCCTCCCTCAAGAGGAGAACAGTATTCTAGGAAACTAATGCTTCCCTCTGGCCGAAATGCAAAATTGCAGAAATCATTTGCCAAATACAGCCGGCCATTCTTAGGAGGGCTGAAACGCCGTCCTCGAGCTAAGCATACTTTATGAGAGGCCATTTATCAGTTTCTACCAACGATTACACATAACTGAAGGGACACCTGCGACCACGGCGCCTGACCGGCATTTTCTTTGGGCTCCGCCAGACGCTAGTTTGCAAAGTGGGCCAGCGGCGGCCCTGGTTGCAAACTTTGTCGCTTGGGGGCCGCTTTGAGGGTGGCGGAGGGGGCGGGGCCGGGCCGCTCAGTCTTTCTGTCCCCAGCCCGGCAGCGCAAAACCTCCTGGAAACGTCGTCACGGCGCTGGACACACGAGGAAAGTTCACAAGCCCAGTCGCTGTCCGCATTCCCGGTGGCAGAGGACAGGGACAGGCTCACAGGTCGCCAGTGGAGCGCGGCATAAGGGGCGCAGTCGGCGGCTTGTGCGCGGCGGACTCCCCGGCCGTCTAGGCGGTTTTTCCAAGTTCCGCCTTCCCCTCCTCTGCAGCCATCCCGGCCCCAGCTGTTGCTGGGCGTCCGACCCCATCTGTCCTTCTGCTGGGGCTGGGTCAAATTTGGCTCCCCAAAGTGATCCGGACCCCACCTTCTCCGTCCAGCCAGGGCGCGCGTCAGGCCTGCCCGAGCGGCCGGCGGGAGGCGGAGGCGGAGGAGCACGCTGCGCGGGCCGCCCGCCCCCGCCGCCCCCGGCCGCCCCCGAGGCCTCTCTGCTCCTCTCCGCCCTGCGCTGCGCTCGGCCCCGCCCCGCCCCGCCCCGCCCCGCCCCGCTCATCCCGCGCTCTCCCTCTGCGCGCTCCGAATAATTTCCTCCTTTGGCAGAAGAAATAATGCACCTGACTTCAGCAGGGGAAACAGCCAGCCGAGCAGAACAAGGACCAGATGTAGAGGAATAAGGGAGCGAAGAGATGAGGCTCCGTCTTAAGATATGCAGGGGCTGAAGAGGTGGCCGGCGCGGCGGAGGCGGCGACAGCTCCCGGCCGCCCGCCGAGCTGCACGCCGAGGCCGCGCCAGTTGCAGACGCGGCCCGGGAGCGCCGGGTCTGCTGGCTTCTTGGCCAAAGTCTTTGCTCCCCGGACTCGGACTCTGAAGAGGCTCCGGGTCTGTCGCAATCCCACCGCCAGCTGGCAGCTGCCCGGAGGCCTCCCGGGAGCAGGCGGGATGCGCGCCGGGCGTCAGCAGCCGGGGGCCCCCGTCCCCGAGCGCCAACCGCGCCCCTGCGGGCCGGGGTCGCCCCGCGGGCGCCCCCTGCTCGGGCTCCTCGTGCACGCGTGGCTGTGGGCGGCCTCGGGCTCGTCTGCGCAGGTGCTGAGCCTCAGCCTCTCCGTGGACGAGGGGCTCCCGCCCGACACGCTGGTCGGGGACATTCGCGCCGGGCTGCCCGCGCCACAGCAGGAGGCGGGCGGCTTCTTCCTGTCCGAGGACTCGGACGACTTCCACGTGCATCCCGACACCGGCGTCATCCGCACGGCGCGGCGCCTGGACCGCGAGCGGCGCGACCACTACAGCTTCGTGGCCGCGACGCTGCTGGGCGCCGTGGTGCAGGTGGAGATCCGCGTGAACGACGTGAACGACCACTCGCCGCGCTTTCCCCGCGACGCGCTGCAGCTGGACGTCTCGGAGCTCAGCCCGCCCGGCACCGCCTTCCGCCTGCCGGGGGCGCAGGACCCGGACGCTGGGCTGTTCGGCACCCAGGGTTACAGTTTGCTGCCCCCTCCCGACCGGCACGACGACCCGGCTGGGCCCTTCTTCCAGTTGCGCTACGGGACCCCGGGGCCGCCGCCGTCCGCCCTGGAGCCGCTGGACTTGGTGCTGCTGCGGCGCCTGGACCGGGAGGCGGCGGCGACGCACGAGCTGCACGTCGAGGCGTGGGACGGCGGCAGCCCGCGGCGCACCGGCCGCCTGCTGGTGCGGCTGCGCGTGCTGGACGAGAACGACAACCCGCCGGTCTTCGAGCGGCCCGAGTACCGCGCCGCCGTGCGCGAGGACGCCCCGCCGGGCGCCGAGGTGTGCCGCGTGCGAGCCACCGACCGCGACCTGGGGCCCAACGGCCTCGTGCGCTACAGCCTCCGCGCCCGGCCCGGGGCGGGGGCGGGCGGTGAGGCTCCGGGCGGCGCGGCCTTCTTTGAGGTGGAGGAGCTGAGCGGCGCGGTGCGGGTGCGGAGACCACTGGACCGCGAGGCGCGGGCCTGGCACCAGCTGCTGGTGGAGGCTCGCGACGGAGGCGCCGAGCCCGAGGTCGCCACGGTGCGCGTGTCTGTGGCTGTGCTGGACGTGAACGATAACCGGCCCGCCATCCACCTGCTCTTCCTCACGGAGGGGGGCGCGGCCCGAGTCTCCGAGGGCTCAGGACCTGGGGACTATGTGGCTCGAGTCTCGGTGTCCGACGCGGACAGTGACCCGGAGAGGGCAGAGGAGGCCCCTGGGGCACTTGGCGTGGGCCCTGGCGGCGGGAGCATCTCGCTGGCCCTGGAGGGCGGGGAGGGCGCCTTTGCACTGCGGCCCGGGGGTCCCCCGGGGGTGTTTTTCCTCTGCGTCGAGGGCCCCCTGGACAGAGAAAGCCGTGAGCTGTATGAGTTGCGCTTAGTGGCCACCGATACGGGATTCCCACCCCTGAGCACCCAGGAGACGCTGCTGCTTCGTGTCTCCGACCTGAATGACCAGCCACCGGTCTTCAGCCAGGAGCACTACCGGGCCTCCGTGTCCGAGGCCGCAGCCCCCGGCACCACGGTGACGTGGGTCAGCGCCTCCGACGCCGACGAGCCTGGCACTGACCACGCCCGGCTGCGCTACGCTCTTGACCAGTCCTCGGCTCTCTGCAGCTCCGAGGCTTTGCGGCCTGGTGCAGAATGTGGGCCAGCTTTCACCATCGATCCTGAGAGCGGGGCGATCAGCACCGTCCGGACTCTGGATAGAGAGGCCCAGGAGGCCCTGGAACTCAGGGTGGTGGCCCAGGACCTCGGAGAGCCGCCCCTCTTTGCCACCTGCCTGGTGAGCGTCACCGTGGCTGACGTGAATGACAATGAGCCCATCTTCTGGAGGCAGGTGTACAATGTCACCTTGGCAGAGCACACCCCGGTGGGACACTGCTTTCTCCAGGTGAGTGCTTTCAGACCTGTCGGGCAACGGCAAGGCCTGAGAAGAGATGGAGGGTGTGAGTCTGCTTAGGAAAATGGTGGTCTGGATGCTTGTGCCCTGGCTGAAAAAGCAGGGGCCACAGAGATGAATGCACTGGTCCCTGCCCAGCCTTTCAACCAGGGTCTTGGATCATGCATGGTCTCAAAGTCCTTTCTCACTCCCGTGACGCTTGCATCTTCATTTTGCTTGTGGAAGCCCAGTTGATTTAATGCTGGATGTGTGTACTCCGATTTACTTGGAATGAATCACCCACTGTAACCCTTTAGTGCAGTAGGCAATGTTTTGATACTTTTCAGCGCCTTCATACGGTGTCCCAGGGCGTAAGGCTGTCCTCATCAATGGAGTTTTCAAAAGACCAACTGTCTGGCTTTCAAAAGTGGAATTGTTTTTTTTTTTGAGTACCGGGGATCGAACGCAGGTCCTTGAGCTTGTGCAGCAGGCGGCGAAACCACTGAGCTAAATCCCCAGCCTGGAATTATTTTGAGTAGCCATCTCCTTACATGTTTTCATATCTTCTTTAGAAACTTGGAAAGGTTGGTTGGAGGTCTCAAATCACTGTAGTCAACGTCCTTTGTGTGCTGAGAGCTGCCAGGGATGCATCAAGGGCTCTGAGGAGCAGTGGGGCTCAATCATCCTTTATAAAATGGGGTTCTACCCCTTACCTTTTGATTTGGGGTGTTGCCTTCTAGAGTCCTCCGATCTCTCCTTGCCAATTGGAGCGTTGTGTTTTGCTAGCCAGCCCTCTTTATTGCTTCCAGTTTTCTATTTAGTACTTGATGTCAGATGAACAGATTTCCAAGACTGATGTACTTATTCCAAGACAACTTGAGTAAGTAAGTAGAAGCTACCTGCTAATGGGAGTAGGAAGCTCTAAACTAGTTTTGTTAGCTCTCAGCCTGGGCTGTTGCAGACCTCTCCTGAAGACTTTCTGGTTCTCAGTTGTGGGCTGAAGCCTTAGTTTTATAAATCATGTGTCAAGTAATAACCTTTAGATAAATGAAGTGTTACTGTATTGTGAAAATAGCTTTCATGGTTGCTTCCAATTTTTTGTCCTTCGGGTATATGGATAACGGTAATCTGTATGCTTTTCTCTGGTGTGACTGGCAACTCTCAGTTGCTAGATTATTAAAAGGTGGCTTGAAAATTAATTAATGCTTGCTGCTGGACAGATAAAGCCATGAATATCGTGATTAACACTATCCAAGTGTGTCTATTAACACTATCTCAAGCAGTGTCTCGTGTGATGGGACACTGGTGGATGACTAGGTGGCTGGTCATCCTCCATTTAAGAAGGAGCCAGGCCTGGGAGTGACTGATATTTCCACCAACATCAAACTTGCCAGAGCCCAGCTACATGACCTTAGGGGTCCTGCAAGGGAGGCTGAGATGTGGAAAGGAGCCTGTGGACGCCCAGTGACCCAGGATGGTTTCTGCCACGGATTTTTTTTTTTTTTCTGCCATGGATTTTTGACAAAGAAGTCATAATAGATGAGTGGTCCCATGAGCTGATTTCCAAGGTTTATTCCACCTAGAAGCCCCTAAAGATCTTGATATGAGTAGGGTATAACCTGGATCCATCTGAAGGAAAATTATAGAAGGGATTAACTGTGACTGTTTGTTATTACCTGTCTTCAGATGTGTTTCAGAAATTGTGAGATGGCTCTGCCGTGAAGTGTGAGTTTACCCTATTATGACTTGGTCTGTGGTAGGCCCATTATACTGAGGTAAACTTGGTATACACGTGCTTCCGGAAGCTGACAGAACCTGTCCAGGTTGCCAGGTATTGCTGCAGATGGCACTAAATCACACTGATTAGAATTTCGGGACATTCCAGGGATCCAGCCTCTTGGGACTGGCAGAAGGTGCTCTTTCTCTGGGCCCTGGTGGCCTCTCCACAGCAGCTGTAGGAACTTTCCACCTCCAGGACCCCTGATCTGATTCTGCCCCTTAGTTTCCAGATGAGGTTCAAAGGAGTGTTTTCTTGGTCATTCTCTCACTCATTGTTTGTATTACTTTGCAAAAGCTAACTTCCTCACTCAGTCTTTGGATTTCATAGTCTCTTCTTTCTTCCAAGGTTCTGTATAATTACATTGTATAGATTCTTTGTAACTGTTGTCTTTTCTTTTTTTTTTTTTTAGTGTATGTGCTGCTGAAGTGAGCACCTTGTATTTGATTTTGTTTTATTTTATTGGTACCTTTTAGATGTATTATATAATGACATTCATCATTGGGAATTTACACCTTTACATAATCTCTCTTGGTTCTTATTTTTCCCCCTTCCCCTGCCCTCCCTTCAACCCCTCCATCCCTCCC